TTACTTCAACAGAAATCCACGACATATACCAAGGAAAAAAAAGTTTTTTGTCAAACATTGAAAAGCTTGCAAATTATGACGTCGAAATGGTTCACAAATTGAGCGAATGACGCATTCTACGTCATTTGCAAAAGTGGAACTTGTGTCGTTTGAGTTTGATACTGAGAAATCCACTGCTATAGCAAGCGATAAACAATACCTAAAATACTTAAAAAAAAGAAAAAAAAACCAAATAATCATTTAAGTGTGAACTTTATTCGCTCTACTTATTCTAATTAAAAAAAAAAGTACCCATTGGTGATGTAATCGAGGAAGGAATACATGGTGATTTCATTGCACTTAACCACTTCAATTATACCATTTGCTTTTTTATTGCTTTCCAATCCAATTCGTAACTAAATTTGTAAAAACTTTTAATGTTAGTTGATGCTTGAAAATAAACTTTACGCCTTCTGTGAAATCTAAAATGCAACATATATGGATGTTGTTGAAGAATAATATTTCCGATAGGTTTAAATGAACCGAAAAATTATTGGTATCCATTTTGATAGCTAACATTCCGATAAATGGTAGTTGACATAAGGAAGTGGCGCATTTAGTGCCGTTGTACTTTAAAATGAGTAGTTTGCAAAATGTTCCATTAATATTTATTAAAATTGAAGTATGCCTACGTGGAAGATCTTTCGTTCTTCGGCATTTTTCAGAAGCATATCCGAAGTTATTATCAACTGTCCTATGATCGAACATCTTGTATGATCATCTCTTGAGTAACAAAGCACTTCGAAATTCCTTCAAAGTTCATTCGTATACATTTTAAAGCTCTGATTACTTTTTCAAATTGAATTACAATATTAACTGATTATATAGTAAAGGTGAAAAAGTTTAAAATAAATTAACTATGAATAATTTTGCTTTAAATATCATTCGGTTAAAATCATCAAAGCAGACAGAAATAAAAAGTATGAAAACCTGTTTTGGGGATTTATAACTATATTTTTTGGTAATTTAAATGGCTTCCAAAGAATCTTCGATGAATATAATTGTGAGTCGCTTGTATGTAATAAATTACGCTTTTCATTTTCTCCCATTCCAAACATTTGAAAATAAATCTAAAAATATGAAACAAACATGAATAGTATGAAAATATTTAATTTCCTATGCTCTATGACTATTTATTTCTCGTGGTTTTCATCCTTTCGTTCAGATCAGAGATATGTTTAAGTAATCTTTTTCTGATTTACAAAAGCCAACCAAGGAATGTTAAACAATTATAAATTAATTTGCTAGCATTGAAATTATTTAAATTAGATGGAATTTAAAGGTTATAGATGATATCAAGCCCAAACCTGTGTATTTTCAATCCCTTTCCTTGGAAAATTTTTGCCACAAAATTGTAAAAGCATTGTTTGCTCTTTTGGCTGGGCGGTATATGATATTGTCATCACAGCGATCGGTTTACCGCTCTTTATTTCGCTGAAAATTATTTTTATGGTATGATTCTAACGCTGTTTTACAGATAAAATGGCATTTATTACTATAATTTTTTTAAAGTTGCAATTATGTATGAGAATTTTTTTTGAAAATTGAAATTTTTAGAAATTTTCGGAGCAAAATTATTGAATGTTTCTGAGGAAAAAAAAAACTTACATCAAAGGTTTGGAAAAATTTGGTGTAGTGGTGACAATTTCTGTGACAAAAAATGTGGAAGATGCAATTATTGTTACCTCTGCTTCACTGTAGTCACAACTTAAATGCAAAAAATTTTTTTTCCAATTATTATGAAATTAAATGCTTTCGAAAAGTAGGAAGGCATTTGAAATTGTTTAATGTCAGAACTTAAAGTTTTAAAATTTGTAATCAAAGTATTAAAAAAAAAATGATCTGGTAGAAAAATAATAACGCACGTCAAAGAAAATTTTTATGATTTACAATTTCAAAGTTTGAGGAAATGTCAAGGATCCAGAAGACATACGCAGTTTTATCTGTCACACACACACACACATACATGTACATACACATACACGCACACACACACACACACACACACACACACACAGGAAGGAAGAAAAATAACACACATACATACATATGCATGCATACACACACACACACACACATACAGACACAGGAAGGAAGAAAAAATGCTAACATTTCAATTTTCAAATGTTGATCTCGTTTGAATGTGTATACAACTGAGAATGCATTAGGAATTGAAATTACATCTGTCTTCGGAATAACTTCTGTTGTTGTTACCTATAAATTTCTCTCCATAAGATTTTTTTTTCATTCTTTTTTGAACTTATTCACTTAAATTTTCATGTTCAAAATTTTATATTTCCAGACAGATAGATTAGTTGTTTTTTTTTTTTCCTTCTTCTATGGATTAGATCACAAATAGCATGATCTTTTATTTCTATATAATTTACCGTAATCTAAGACAGTTCCTCGTTTGTTTCACATGTTTGTGACATTCGCTTTATTCCGCCTATTTGAATAATGAACAAACTTACAACTTTCCAAGAATTTTCGAGATCATTTTCATTCACAGATATTAAACAAATTATGTCATCAAAAGCAAATAAATCGGTCTTCAATTCACTGAAATGAAATATTTATTTATACAAATAATATTTGAGAAAGTTTAAAACTTTCATAATTTTTCAATATGCAACCTGTTGATTTCATTTAGCTTACCTCTCGAACATATTTTTACTGAAATAATGGAACGTTTTGATTATGGAATATTACATTTGTTAAAATGCTGGTTTTTCTTTTTTTCTTTTTCTTTTCTTTTCTTTTTT